ACAGTAGTGTTATAGTGGTATGTACTGTATGAACTTCCCATAGGGTATTATTACTAGAGTAGTTATAGTGGTATGTACTGTATGAACTTCCCATAGGGTATTATTACTACAGTAGTGTTATAGTTGTATGTACTGCATTAACTTCCCATATGGTATTATTACTACAGTAGTGTTATAGTGGTATGCACTGTATGAACTTCCCATAGGGTATTATTACTACAGTAGTGTTATAGTGGTATGCACTGTATGAACTTCCCATAGGGTATTATTACTACAGTAGTTATAGTTGTGTACTGTATGAACTTCCCATAGGATATTACTACAGTAGTGTTATAGTTGTATGTACTGTATGAACTTCCCATAGGGTATTATTACTACAGTAGTGTTATAGTGGTATGTACTGTATGAACTTCCCATAGGGTATTACTACAGTAGTGTTATAGTTGTATGTACTGTATGAACTTCCCATAGGGTATTATTAGAGTAGTTATAGTTGTATGTACTGTATGAACTTCCCATAGGGTATTATTACTACAGTAGTGTTATAGTGGTATGCACTGTATGAACTTCCCATAGGGTATTATTACTACAGTAGTGTTATAGTTGTATGTACTGTATGAACTTCCCATAGGATATTATTACTACAGTAGTGTTATAGTGGTATGTACTGTATGAACTTCCCATAGGGTATTATTACTAGAGTAGTTATAGTGGTATGTACTGTATGAACTTCCCATAGGGTATTATTACTACAGTAGTGTTATAGTTGTATGTACTGCATTAACTTCCCATAGGGTATTATTACTACAGTAGTGTTATAGTGGTATGCACTGTATGAACTTCCCATAGGGTATTATTACTACAGTAGTGTTATAGTGGTATGCACTGTATGAACTTCCCATAGGGTATTATTACTACAGTAGTTATAGTTGTGTACTGTATGAACTTCCCATAGGATATTACTACAGTAGTGTTATAGTTGTATGTACTGTATGAACTTCCCATAGGGTATTATTACTACAGTAGTGTTATAGTGGTATGTACTGTATGAACTTCCCATAGGGTATTACTACAGTAGTGTTATAGTTGTATGTACTGTATGAACTTCCCATAGGGTATTATTAGAGTAGTTATAGTTGTATGTACTGTATGAACTTCCCATAGGGTATTATTACTACAGTAGTGTTATAGTGGTATGCACTGTATGAACTTCCCATAGGGTATTATTACTACAGTAGTGTTATAGTTGTATGTACTGTATGAACTTCCCATAGGATATTATTACTACAGTAGTGTTATAGTGGTATCTACTGTATGAACTTCCCATAGGATATTGTTACTACAGTAGTGTTATAGTTGTATGTACTGTATGATCTTCCCATAGGATATTATTACTACAGTAGTTATAGTTGTATATACTGTATGAACTTCCCATAGGATATTGTTACTACAGTAGTGTTATAGTTGTATGTACTGTATGAACTTCCCATAGGATATTGTTATTACAGTAGTGTTATAGTATGTACTGTATGAACTTCCCATAGGGTATTACTACAGTAGTGTTATGTACTGTATGAACTTCCCATAGGATATTATTACTACAGTAGTGTTATAGTTGTATGTACTGTATGAACTTCCCATAGGGTATTATTACTAGAGTAGTTATAGTTGTATGTACTGTATGAACTTCCCATAGGGTAGTTACTACAGTAGTGTTATAGTTGTATGTACTGCATGAACTTCCCATAGGGTATTACTACAATAGTGTTATAGTGGTATGTACTGTATGAACTTCCCATAGGATATTATTACTACTACAGTAGTGTTATAGTTGTATGTACTGTATGAACTTCCCATAGGGTATTATTACTAGAGTAGTTATAGTTGTATGTACTGTATGAACTTCCCATAGGGTATTACTACAGTAGTGTTATAGTTGTATGTACTGTATGAACTTCCCATAGGGTATTATGACTAGAGTATAGTTGTATGTACTGTATGAACTTCCCATAGGGTATTGTTACTACAGTAGAGTTATAGTTGTATGTACTGTATGAACTTCAACTCAACCTCAAATGTGTACCCGGTGCGATGTGGGGCCGTCCATAAATGACGTCACGCACCTGGGGTGGGGTCAGACATGTGACGAGGGGGGGGGGTAGTTTGAGAAATGTGACGTCACATCAAAATGCGCAACTTTAAATAAATATAGAATAGTTACAGCAACACTAAATGTGTTATAACAACACTCCTACAACATCAGAGTGCAGCGCCACATTAAATACGCACTACAATAGTTTAAAGCGATTTGAAGCACGTTTTAGTTTCAAAATGGAAATATGGTTTTGGGGGGGGGGTCAGAGCTTTGTGACGTCATACTTGGGGGGGTCAAAATCGCGTGACGTCATTTATGGACGGCCCCTTTGTAAAAAAATCATCACCAATGGGGGGGGGGGGGGTGGGGAGACAAAGACGGTCCGGGCGTGGTGCTGGCCACCCTACCGCCCGCAGTCGTGTGCCGAGCCGGCCTGCTTAGGCGCTGCTCGCCACCACCACTTGCCCCCACGGTCTGTTCGAGGCTACACGGGGGACCTTTGCCTATGCACTTGTTGCCATCTCCTGACCACGTGTGGGTGCTGCGCCCGTTTCGGGCAAAAAAAAAACTAAAAAAAAAGATGCGAGCCCGAGTCGCCGGCCATCCCCATCATCGTTGCCACCTTCAGTCAACACTTTTATTCGCAATGAACCTGTGAACAGAGGAATCGCGCGCGCGCGCATGCACGTGACAATTGACGATGATCATGAACGTGACACGAGACCAAACCCGACAACCCTGGGTGTTCAACCCCCCTCCGAATCGTCCCGAGGGCATGGATTTTATTTATTCCCTCCCGTCGCGGGCTGCAAATCGACAAAGTCGACTCGGCGATCACCGTCTAAAGTAAAATATCCCCCCCCCCCCATGGGTCTTTTAAGCGAGTATATTGCTGCCTGTGTGAGTCTATGGGTCTCTGTGTGAGTCTATGGGTCTCTGAGTCTATGGGTCTCTGTGTGAGTCGATGGGTCTCTCTGAATCTATGGGTCTCTGTGTGAGTCGATGGGTCTCTCTGAATCTATGGGTCTCTCTGTGAGTCTATGGATTTCTCTGCGAGTCTATGGGTGTCTGAGTCTATGGGTGTCTGAGTGTATGGGTCTCTCTGAATCTATGGGTCTCTCTGTGAGTATATGGGTCTCTGAGTCTATGGGTGTCTGTGTGAGTCTATGGGTCTCTCTGAATCTATGGGTCTCTGTGTGAGTCTATGGATTTCTCTGCAAGTCTATGGGTCTCTGAGTCTATGGGTGTCTGAGTCTATGGATTTCTCTGTGAGTCTATGGGTCTCTGAGTCTATGGGTGGGTCTCCCTCTGTGGATGATTGGTGATCAGGCTGAGACCATCAAATCAGTGCCGTAGAGGGCCCGGTTTTTATTCACGAGGGTTTATTCACGAGTCTCAAGGCTCTCTTTCAGGGGGGGCCCGTTAAGTTTTCGCGCAGTAGTGGGGGTGATGTTTTCTGCTGTGCGTGCGACCCCAATTGAGTCATCTGCAGGTACATTTTCAGAATTGGGATGTTTGACATCTGTAAAAGTAACTCCCGTAAGGATTCTGTCTGTTGTCTGTGCGTGGCGTTTGTTTCACCTGCGGGAGGACATGAACCTGGAGGGAAACCCATGCGGAACAGGGTGGTGGGAGGGAGGGAATCCAAACTCCACACACACACACACGCGCGCGTGCGCGGAAAAAAAGCGCCCGGGTCAGGAATCGAACCCAGGCCACCCCTTCCCGCTGCGAGGTCGTGGAGACTCACGGCTTGCCATCGCCGCCGCCGCCAGCCGCCCAATTTTCTTCACCAGCGAGGTCACGTGACTTCGCGGCAGCGGCCTTTGGCTGACCGTCGAACACACAGACGGTGGTCACCGGATCGCGCAGCGCTTTCAGATGCTGCTGCTGCTTCTGCGGCCGTCCGGAACGCTCTTCCCTTCCGATACTAGGAAGCCCACGGGGGGAGCCGTGATGCCACTTGTAAAATCATCCGGTACGACAAACTCATTTTCTCCGATTGGCTACGTACGGCGCGAAAGAAGTTCAACGATAGCAGACACACGCGGCGTGGTCACACAGCATCACGGCTACTCTACAGGCGCCGTCGCAAATTAAGGAATCAACCCGAAGACGCACGTGGATTGAACCCGCGGTACAGTACAACGTCGCGTATCCGACCCCCCCCCCCCAGCACCGCCGACTAAGTCAACCGCCCCTCCGCCTCCCGCACCCCGGCCCACAGTGCAGCAGCTGCGCTTGACGTGCGGTCGAATGGCTACGTCCTACGGACGTTCGTTTTTTAGCACGGAGAGCGAGCGAGCGAGCGGTGTTCCCGCCAGCTCGGCTCCTCGAGCCACGGCCGAGCGGTTCCCCCCCACCACCACCGAAACCCGCACGTCAGTAGCAGCCTAGCCCTGGGCACACGCCGTGTGTGAACCATCACGCTTACACACTGGAGAGGATGTCTACACTACACACGCACCGCATACCGCACGCACGCACCACAAACACGCACCACACACACTCGCACCACACACACGCACGCACCACACACACCGCACGCACACACCACACACACGCACCACACACACTCGCACCACACACACGCACGCACCACACACACCGCACGCACACACCACACACACGCACCACACACACTCGCACCACACACACGCACGCACCACACACACCGCACGCACACACCACACACACACACCACACACACGCACCACACACACCACACGCACGCACCACACACACGCACCACACACACTCGCACCACACACACGCACGCACCACACACACCGCACGCACGCACCGCACACACGCACCACACGCACGCACCACACACACGCACCACACACACTCGCACCACACACACGCACGCACCACACACACCGCACGCACGCACCGCACACACGCACCACACACACGCGCGCACCACACACACAAGACACACACACTCGCACCACACACACACGCACCGCACACACCACACACCGCACGCACGCACCGCACACACGCACCACGCACCGCACACACGCACGCACCACACACACACACGCACCGCACGCACGCACCGCACACACGCACCGCACACACATCTGAACTTAACCACGTGTCCCCGCCTACAACCTCATCGTCCTGGCGAGAGGTGGGATATGCGACGCCGTTACCCTCTAAATCACCGTGTTCATTATTGACTTGTCGCGCCGCCCTGCCACCACGGTCGCCGTGGCGACGCCGCCAGGGCCGGCCCTGAGCTCAGGGCCGGCCCTGAGCTCAGGGCTTGCAGCGCTGGATGAAGCGCGGGTAGAGGCACACGTCACGGATGTGGTGCCGGTTCAGGATCCACGTGAGGAAGCGCTCCAGGCCCAGGCCATAGCCGCCGTGGGGGCACGAGCCGTACTTGCGCTGCAACACAAATTCGGAGATCACCTCAAGTGCCCGGTAGCGGTGGTGGCCGCGGCGGTGGTGGTGGTGGCGGCGGTCGTGGCGGTGGTAGCGGTGGTGGCAGTAGCGGTGGCGGTGGTGGCGGCGGTGGTGGTGGTGGCGGTCGTCATGCAGTGGTGGTGGCGGTGGTGGCGTGGTGGTAGCGGTGGTGGCGGCGGTGGTGGTGGTCATGCAGTGGTGGTGCTGGCGTTTGCGGTGGTGGTGGTGGCGGTCGTGATGGTGGCGGTGGTGGTGGCGCGGTGGTGGTGGTGGCGGTAGCGGCGGTGGCCGCACCGCTCCACGTGGTCTGCCCGCCGTCATCCGGCGCTGCGGCCACAGCGCCGGATCTTTTCAACCCAAATCGACAAACTCCTTTCTTTCCCACCGATTTTCGTGTCAGGCTTGTTGTCCCTCCCCCGGCACCTCCGATCGGCACGGTTGCCTACGTAGGGTGCGAACGCAGCTCAACGTACACACACACACACGTGGTCGTGAAATTCCCTCCCTCCTATCCGTGCGTGGATGTCGATGAGGAGTCGTGCCCCCCGGCTCTGCCAGGAGGTCCGACCTCGGCGCACACGCCAGGAGGCCGGAGTCAAGGGAACTGGGAACCAATATCTGAATTTAGACTGGAGGAGAAATCCGATGAGCTTTCAAGCTCTTTTCCACAGATGTCCCAGGACACGTGACTCCCGCTACTTAAGAACATTCGACTTAAAAACTTTACGGAGATACGAACAAAGCTGTCCGTACGTTCAGTTGAATGTTCAGACTGAGAATCGTTAGGTCAACCACCGCGCAATAGATGGCGGTGGTGGCATCTACATCTACAGAACGTGTAGGACCAGTGGCATCTACATCTGCAGAACGTGAAGAACCAGTGGCATCTACATCTGCAGAACGTGAAGAACAAGTAGCATCTACATCTACAGAACGTGAAGAACCAGTGGCATCTACATCTGCAGAACGTGAAGAACCAGTAGCATCTACATCTACAGAACGTGAAGAACCAGTGACATCTACATCTACAGAACGTGAAGAACCAGTAACATCTACATCTGCAGAACGTGAATAACCAGTGGTATCTACATCTGTAGAACGTGAAGAACCAGTGGCATCTACATCTACAGAACGTGAAGAACCAGTGGCATCTACAGCTGCAGAATGTGAAGAACCAATGGCATCTACATCTGCAGAACGTGAAGAACCAGTGGCATCTACATTTGTAGAACGTGAGGAACCATTGGTATCTACATCTGCAGAACGTGAAGAACCAGTGGTATCTACATCTGCAGAACGTGAAGAACCAGTGGCATCTACATCTGTAGAACGTGAAGAACCAGTGGCATCTACAGCTGCAGAATGTGAAGAACCAATGGCATCTACATCTGCAGAACGTGAAGAACCAGTGGCATCTACATCTGTAGAACGTGAAGAACCAGTGGCATCTACATCTGCAGAACGTGAAGAACAGGTGGCATCTACATCTGTAGAACGTGAAGAACCAGTGGCATCTACATCTGCAGAACGTGAAGAACCAGTGGCATCTACATCTGCAGAAGTGAAGAACCAGTGGCATCTACATCTACAGAACGTGAAGAATCAGTGGCATCTACATCTACAGAGCGTGAAGAACCAGTGGCATCTACATCTGCAGGAGATTATACAACCTTTAAAGCCATTCCCCGTGTTTAGTGTACACGCTGTACAACACGTTTTGGGATCGACAGGAGTAAAGTTGGACTTACGAACAGACCTCCGGAAACCTAACTCATTCGTAAGTAGAGGAGTCCCTGTATGGGCAACAACACACAACAGCACACAACAACAACAAACGGTGGGACCCCGCTCACCTGGTCCGTGTACCAGTAGTAGGGCGTGGGGTCGATGCCCTCCCGCTTGTAGCCTTCCAGGAGCTCCTCGTGGTCCCAAATACGCATCGACCCCCCCACAATCTCACCCACGTTGGGCATCAGCACGTCCACCTGGCAGAAAGAGAAAGGTCCCCCGAGTAGCCTTGACACGTGTGTACACTCACAGACATGTGTGTACACTCACAGACACACACAGGCACACACAGACACCCACAGACACACACAAACACGTGTGTGTACACTCACAGACACACACAGACACGTGTGTACACTCACAGACACACACACAGACACGTGTGTGCACTCGCAGGCACAGACAGACACGTGTATGCACTCACAGATACACTCAGACACACACAGACACATGTACACTCACAGACACACACAGACACGTGTGTACACTCACAGACACACACAGACACGTGTGTACACTCACAGACACACACAGACACGTGTGTACACTCACAGACACGCGTGTGTACACTCACAGACACACACAGACACGTGTGTACACTCACAGACACACACAAACACGTGTGTACACTCACAGACACACACAAACACGTGTGTACACTCACAGACACACACAAACACGTGTGTACACTCACAGACACACACAAACACGTGTGTACACTCACAGACACACACAAACACGTGTGTACACTCACAAACACACACACGCCTAGACAAAGATGGCTGTGTGAGTGTGCAAGCGAGTGAGTGCGTGAGTGTGCAGGCGAGTGAGCGAGCTGGTGAGTGTGCAGGCGAGTGAGCGAGTGAGCGAGCTGGTGAGTGTGCAGGCGAGTGAGCGAGTGAGCGAGCTGGTGAGTGTGCAGGCGAGTGAGCGAATGAGTGGGCGAGTGAGTGTGCGGGCGAGTGAGCGAGCGGGTGAGCGAGCGAGTGTGCGGACAAGTGAGTGTGCAGGCGAGTGAATGAGCGAGTGAGCGAGCGAGCGGGTGAGCGAGTGGGTGAGTGTGCGGGCGAGTGAGCGAGCTGGTGAGTGTGCAGGTGATTGAGCGAGTGAGCGAGTGAGTGTGCGGGCAAGTGAGCGAGCGGGTGAGCGAGCGAGTGAGTGTGCGGACAAGTGAGTGTGCAGGCGAGTGAATGAGCGAGTGAGCGAGCGAGCGGGTGAGCGAGTGGGTGAGTGTGCGGGCGAGTGAGCGAGCTGGTGAGTGTGCAGGCGAGTGAGCGAATGAGTGGGCGAGTGAGTGTGCGGGCGAGTGAGCGAGCGGGTGAGCGAGCGAGTGAGTGTGCGGACAAGTGAGTGTGCAGGCGAGTGAATGAGCGAGTGAGCGAGCGAGCGGGTGAGCGAGTGGGTGAGTGTGCGGGGCGAGTGAGCGAGCTGGTGAGTGTGCAGGCGAGTGAGCGAATGAGTGGGCGAGTGAGTGTGCGGGCGAGTGAGCGAGCGGGTGAGCGAGCGAGTGAGTGTGCGGACAAGTGAGTGTGCAGGCGAGTGAATGAGCGAGTGAGCGAGCGGGTGAGCGAGTGGGTGAGTGTGCGGGCGAGTGAGTGTGTGAGCGTGTGGGCGAGTGAGTGTGTGAGCGTGTGGGCGAGTGAGCGGGTGAGCGTGTGGGCGAGTGTGCGGGCAAGTGAGTGTGTGGGCGAGTGAGCAGGTGAGCGTGCGGGCGAGTGAGCGGGTGAGCGTGTGAGCGAGTGAGTGTGTGAGCGTGTGGGCGAGTGAGCGGGTGAGCGTGTGGGCGAGCGAGCGGGTGAGCGTGTGGGCGAGTGAGTGTGTGAGCGTGTGGGCGAGTGAGCGGGTGAGCGTGTGGGCGAGTGAGCGAGCGGGTGAGTGTGTGGGCGAGTGAGCGGGTGAGCGTGTGGGCGAGTGAGTGTGTGAGCGTGTGGGCGAGTGAGCGGGTGAGTGTGTGGGCGAGTGAGCGAGCGAGCGGGTGAGCGAGCGGGTAAGCGTGTGGGTGAGCGAGCGGGTGAGCGTGTGGGCGAGTGAGCGTGTGGGTGAGCGTGTGGGCGAGTGAGCGGGTGAGCGAGCGGGTGAGCGTGTGGGCGAGCGAGTGTACGCACCGACTCGGTGAGCCGTGGGTCGTCAGCACAGCGCTGCATGTAGAAGGATTTGATCTCGGCCGGGAAGCGGCAGAGCAGGATGGGCTCGCCGATGGCGTCCGTCATCAGCCGCTCCGGGGCCTCGGGGATGTCCTGCGGAGAGACAAAGGCAGCAGCGCAGCAAGTAGGCTGCAGGGCTGCTACGACGTGGAGCTTCTCGCTCGCTTCGACTCGTCAACACGCGACACCGTGGGGGCGAGCGAGCGTGGGGGAGAGGGAGGGGGCGAGCGAGTATGGGGGGAGAGAGAGGGGGTGAGCGAGCGTGGGGGTGAGCGAGCGTGTGGGTGAGCGTGGGGGTGAGCGAGCGCATGGGTGAGCGTGTGGGCGAGTGAGTGTGGGGGTGAGCGTGTGGGTGAGCGTGGGGGCGAGCGAGCATGTGGGTGAGCACGGGGGCGAGCAAGCGCGTGGGTGAGCGTGTGGGCGAGCGAGGCCTCACCTCCCCGAACTCATAAAAGGTGCCATCCTCCTTGGTTATGTTGTGCTCGCGTAGCCACACGATGGCGTCCGTGTAGTCCATGCGCCGGAACGGCCTCTTGGGTGCGACAAAGCCCTGCAGCAGCGGAGAGAGCACGGCGCGGAGAGCGAGGACGACTCAGAGAGAGAGAGAGGACGACTCAGAGAGAGAGAGGACGACTCAGAGAGAGAGGACGACTCAGAGAGAGAGAGAGAGGGCGACTCAGAGAGAGAGAGAGGACGACTCAGAGAGAGAGGGCGACTCAGAGAGAGAGAGGGCGACTCAGAGAGAGAGAGAGGACGACTCAGAGAGAGAGGGCGACTCAGAGAGAGAGAGGGCGACTCAGAGAGAGAGGGGCGACTCAGAGAGAGAGAGGGCGACTCAGAGAGAGGGGACGACTCAGAGAGAGAGAGAGGACGACTCAGAGAGAGAGGACGACTCAGAGAGAGAGAGGACGACTCAGAGAGAGAGGACGACTCAGAGAGAGAGAGGGCGACTCAGAGAGAGAGAGAGAGGACGACTCAGAGAGAGAGGGCGACTCAGAGAGAGAGAGGGCGACTCAGAGAGAGAGAGAGGACGACTCAGAGAGAGAGGGCGACTCAGAGAGAGAGAGGGCGACTCAGAGAGAGAGGGCGACTCAGAGAGAGAGAGGGCGACTCAGAGAGAGAGAGGACGACTCAGAGAGAGAGGGCGACTCAGAGAGAGAGGGCGACTCAGAGAGAGAGAGGGCGACTCAGAGAGAGAGGACGACTCAGAGAGAGAGAGGACGACTCAGAGAGAGAGAGAGGACGACTCAGAGAGAGAGAGGACGACTCCGAGAGAGAGGGCGACTCAGAGAGAGAGAGAGGGCGACTCAGAGAGAGAGAGAGGACGACTCAGAGAGAGAGGGCGACTCAGAGACAGAGAGGGCGACTCAGAGAGAGAGAGAGGGCGACTCAGAGAGAGAGGACGACTCAGAGAGAGAGAGGACGACTCAGAGAGAGAGAGAGGACGACTCAGAGAGAGAGAGGACGACTCCGAGAGAGAGGGCGACTCAGAGAGAGAGAGGGCGACTCAGAGAGAGAGAGAGGACGACTCAGAGAGAGAGGGCGACTCAGAGAGAGAGAGGGCGACTCAGAGAGAGAGAGAGGATGACTCAGAGAGAGAGGGCGACTCAGAGAGAGAGAGGGCGACTCAGAGAGAGAGGACGACTCAGAGAGAGAGGACGACTCAGAGAGAGGACGACTCAGAGAGAGGACGACTCAGAGAGAGAGAGGACGACTCAGAGAGAGAGAGGACGACTCAGAGAGAGAGGATGACTCAGAGAGAGAGAGGACGACTCAGAGAGAGAGAGAGACTCAGAGAGAGAGGACGACTCAGAGAGAGAGAGGACGACTCAGAGAGAGAGAGAGGACGACTCAGAGAGAGAGAGAGAGAGGACGACTCAGAGAGAGAGAGGACGACTCAGAGAGAGAGGACGACTCAGAGAGAGAGAGGACGACTCAGAGAGTGAGAGGGCGACTCAGAGAGAGAGGACGACTCAGAGAGAGGACGACTCAGATAGAGAGGGCGACTCAGAGAGAGAGGACGACTCAGAGAGAGAGGACGACTCAGAGAGAGAGAGAGGACGACTCAGAGAAAGAGGACGACTCAGAGAGAGAGAGGACGACTCAGAGAGAGAGAGAGGACGACTCAGAGAGAGAGGACGACTCAGAGAGAGAGGACGACTCAGAGAGAGAGGACGACTCAGAGAGAGAGAGGACGACTCAGAGAGAGAGAGGACGACTCAGAGAGAGAAGACGACTCAGGGAGAGAGGACGACTCAGAGAGAGAGGATGACTCAGAGAGAGAGGATTACTCAGAGAGAGAGGACGACTCAGAGAGAGGACGACTCAGAGAGAGAGAGAGAGAGAGGACGACTCAGAGAGAGAGAGAGGACGACTCAGAGAGAGAGGACGACTCAGAGAGAGAGAGGACGACTCAGAGAGAGAGGACGACTCAGAGAGAGAGAGGGCGACTCAGAGAGAGAGAGAGGACGACTCAGAGAGAGAGGGCGACTCAGAGAGAGAGAGGGCGACTCAGAGAGAGAGAGAGGACGACTCAGAGAGAGAGGGCGACTCAGAGAGAGAGAGGGCGACTCAGAGAGAGAGGGCGACTCAGAGAGAGAGAGGGCGACTCAGAGAGAGAGAGGACGACTCAGAGAGAGAGAGAGGACGACTCAGAGAGAGAGGGCGACTCAGAGAGAGAGAGGGCGACTCAGAGAGAGAGGACGACTCAGAGAGAGAGAGGACGACTCAGAGAGAGAGAGAGGACGACTCAGAGAGAGAGAGGACGACTCCGAGAGAGAGGGCGACTCAGAGAGAGAGAGAGGGCGACTCAGAGAGAGAGAGAGGACGACTCAGAGAGAGAGGGCGACTCAGAGACAGAGAGGGCGACTCAGAGAGAGAGAGGGCGACTCAGAGAGAGAGGACGACTCAGAGAGAGAGGACGACTCAGAGAGAGAGAGAGGACGACTCAGAGAGAGAGAGGACGACTCAGAGAGAGAGGGCGACTCAGAGAGAGAGAGGGCGACTCAGAGAGAGAGAGAGGACGACTCAGAGAGAGAGGGCGACTCAGAGAGAGAGAGGGCGACTCAGAGAGAGAGAGAGGATGACTCAGAGAGAGAGGGCGACTCAGAGAGAGAGAGGGCGACTCAGAGAGAGAGGACGACTCAGAGAGAGAGGACGACTCAGAGAGAGGACGACTCAGAGAGAGGACGACTCAGAGAGAGAGAGGACGACTCAGAGAGAGAGAGGACGACTCAGAGAGAGAGGATGACTCAGAGAGAGAGAGGACGACTCAGAGAGAGAGAGAGACTCAGAGAGAGAGGACGACTCAGAGAGAGAGAGGACGACTCAGAGAGAGAGAGAGGACGACTCAGAGAGAGAGAGAGGACGACTCAGAGAGAGAGAGGACGACTCAGAGAGAGAGGACGACTCAGAGAGAGAGAGGACGACTCAGAGAGTGAGAGGGCGACTCAGAGAGAGAGGACGACTCAGAGAGAGGACGACTCAGATAGAGAGGGCGACTCAGAGAGAGAGGGCGACTCAGAGAGAGAGGACGACTCAGAGAGAGAGAGAGGACGACTCAGAGAAAGAGGACGACTCAGAGAGAGAGAGGACGACTCAGAGAGAGAGAGGACGACTCAGAGAGAGAGAGAGGACGACTCAGAGAGAGAGGACGACTCAGAGAGAGAGGACGACTCAGAGAGAGAGGACGACTCAGAGAGAGAGAGGACGACTCAGAGAGAGAGAGGACGACTCAGAGAGAGAAGACGACTCAGGGAGAGAGGACGACTCAGAGAGAGAGGATGACTCAGAGAGAGAGGATTACTCAGAGAGAGAGGACGACTCAGAGAGAGGACGACTCAGAGAGAGAGAGAGAGAGAGGACGACTCAGAGAGAGAGGACGACTCAGAGAGAGAGGAAGACTCAGAGAGAGAGAGGACGACTCAGATAGAGAGAGGACGACTCAGACAGAGGACGACTCAGAGAGAGCGAGGACGACTCAGAGAGAGAGAGGACGACTCAGAGAGAGGACGACTCAGAGAGAGAGAGGACGACTCGGAGAGAGAGAGGACGACTCGGAGAGAGAGAGGATGACTCAGAGAGAGAGAGGATGACTCAGAGAGAGAGGACGACTCAGAGAGAGAGAGGACGACTCAGAGAGAGAGGACGACTCAGAGAGAGAGGACGACTCAGAGAGAGAGGACGACTCAGAGAGAGAGGACGACTCAGAGAGAGAGGACGACTCAGAGAGAGGGCGACTCAGAGAGAGAGGGCGACTCAGAGAGAGAGGACGACTCAGAGAGAGAGAGGACGACTCAGAGAGAGAGAGGACGACTCAGAGAGAGAGGACGACTCAGAGAGAGAGAGGACGACTCAGAGAGATGACGACTCAGATAGAGGACGACTCAGAGAGAGGACGACTCAGAGAGAGAGAGAACGACTCAGAGAGAGAGGACGACTCAGAGAGAGAGGATGACTCAGAGAGAGGACGACTCAGAGACAGAGAGGACGACTCTGAGAGAGAGAGGACGACTCAGAGAGAGAGAGAGGACGACTCAGAGAGAGAGAGAGGACGACTCAGAGAGAGAGAGGACGACTCAGAGAGAGAGAGGACGACTCAGAGAGAGAGAGAGGACGACTCAGAGAGCGAGAGAGGACGACTCAGATAGAGAGGGCGACTCAGAGAGAGAGGACGACTCAGAGAGAGAGAGGACGACTCAGAGAGAGAGGGCGACTCAGAGAGAGAGGACGACTCAGAGAGAGAGAAAGGGCGTCTCAGAGTGAGAGAGAGAGGGCGACTCAGAGAGAGAGGACGACTCAGAGAGAGAGAGGACGACTCAGAGAGAGAGAAAGGGCGTCTCAGAGTGAGAGAGAGAGGGCGACTCAGAGAGAGAGAGGACGACTCAGAGGGTTGGGGAGCTGGGGGGGGTGGGGGGGGCGGGGCAGGGGGGGTGGGAGGGTTTTAGGGTGGGGGGTGGGGGGTGGGTGCGGGATGGGGTGGGGGCGGGGTGGGTGGGGCCACTCACCGGGTTGACTTCGAGCAGCTGACCGGCTAGCGGCGAGCTCAGGGCACGCTCCACCACGTCACACACCAGGTCCTCCACACGCTGCAGCAGCTCCTCGAACGTGATGAAAGGGCACTCCGCCTCCACGTGCGTGTACCTAGCCCGGCACGCAGCGCACAAGGCGGCGGCCGTCAAACCCACGAGGACGCAAGACACGGGAGGCCCCGCGTGGCCTCGGGCAGGCCACGGGGGTCAGCGCCGTTGGTGGCGAGGAGCGGCGCCGCACCGGGTGCTCGCTTGAGGCCGAGCGGAGCTAGGGGAGGTCCGCGATCGGTTAGAATGTTCGTCACCGGTGCTTGGTCGCGAGCGGGATTCGAACTCGGGCTGCTGGGTTGGTAGCGCGGCGCGCGCTGGCCGATGCCCCGCCGCTCCGCACGCAGCCACAACGAGTCCGTGGTGAGCAGAGACTCCGTGGCGAGTGTCCCCTCGGTGATTGTGCGAGTCTCCGTGGTGAGAGCGAATGAGTGAGCGAGTGAGCGAGTGAGCGAGTGAACGAGCGAGTGAGTGAGTGAGCGAGAGAGCGAGCGAGTGAGCGAGCGAATGAGCGAGCGAGCGAGCGAGTAAGCGAGTGAGTGAGTGAGCGAGTGAGTGAGCGAGTGAGTGAGCGAGTGAGCGAGCGAGTGAGCGAGTGAGTGAGCGAGCGAATGAGTGAGCGAGCGAGTAAGCGAGTGAGTGAGCGAGTGAGTGAGCGAGTGAGTGAGTGAGCGAGCGAGTGAGCGAGTGAGCGAGTGAGTGAGTGAGTGAGCGAGCGAATGAGTGAGCGAGCGAGTAAGCGAGTGAGTGAGCGAGTGAGTGAGTGAGTGAGCGAGTGAGTGAGCAAATGAGTGAGTGAGCGAGTGAGTGAGCGAGTGAGTGAGTGAGCGAGCGAGCAAATGAGCGAGCGAGTGAGCGAATGAGTGAGCGAGCGAGTGAGCGAGTGAATGAGTGAGCGAGTGAGCGAGTCCCTGCGGTGAGTGAGCGAGTGAGCGTGGTGAGAGCGAATGAGTGAGCGAGCGAGTGAGCGAGCGAGCGAGTGAGCGAGTGAGCCAGTGAGCGATCGAGTGAGCGATGTTGAGAGCGAGTGAGCGAGTCCCTGCGGTGAGAGTGAGTGAGTCAGCGCGTGAGCGTGGTGAGAGCGAGTGAGTGAGCGAGTGAGTGAGTGAGCGAGTGAGCGAGTGAGCGAATGAGTGAGCGAGCGAGTAAGCGAGTGAGTGAGTGAGTGAGTGAGCGAGCGAGTCAGTGAGTGAGTGAGCGAGCGAGCGAGTGAGTGAGCGAGAGAGTCCCTGCGGTGAGGGTGAGTGAGTCAGCGAGTGAGCGTAGTGAGAGCCAGTGAGTGAGCGAGCGAGCGATTGAGTGAGCGACGTTGAGAGTGAGTGAGCGAGCGTGGTGAGAGTGAGTGAGTGAGTGAGCGAGCCCCTGCGGTGAGAGTGAGCGAGTCAGCGAGTGAGCGTGGTGAGAGCGAATGAGTGAGCGAGTGAGTGAGCGAGTGAGCGAGCGAGTGAGCGTGGTGAGAGCCAGTGAGTGAGCGAGCGAGCGAGTGAGCGAGCGAGTGAGGGAGTGAGCGAGTGAGCGAGCGAGTGAGCGTGGTGAGAGCCAGTGAGTGAGCGAGTGAGTGAGCGAGCGAGCGAGCGAGGGAGCGAGCGAGTGAGTGAGCGAGTGAGCGTGGTGAGAGCGAATGAGTGAGCGAGCGAGCGTGCGAGCGTGCGAGTGAGTGAGCGAGCGAGCGAGTTAGCGAGCGAGTGAGCGAGCGTGCGAGCGTGCGAGTGAGTGAGCGAGTGAGCGAGCGAGCGAGCGAGCGAGTGAGCGAGCGAGTCCGTACTCGGCGAGGTGGCGCCGCGTGCGGGACTGCTCGGCCCGGTACGACTGCGACACGCAGAAGACGTCCCCCAGTGCGGGGATGCACGTCTCCAGGTAGAGCTGCGAGGACTGCGTGAGGAAGGCCTCCTCCCCAAAGTAGTCGAGGCGGAACAGCGTGGAGCCCCCCTCCACCTGCGTCTGCACCAGCGTCGGCGGCGTCACCTGCGGCGCAACGCAAGGACGCTGCCGCTACTCTTGCCCCGGCAGTCTGTTGAGGCTGTACGAGGGGTGGGGGGATCTTTGCCTTTGTCTTGCAGTGGAGACACGCGCGTGTCTGTGTGTGTGTGTCTGTGTGTGTCTGTGTGTGTGTCTGTGTGTGTGTGTCTGTGTGTGTCTGTGTGTGTGTCTGTGTGTGTGTGCATGCCCAGCCACCGCATGCCTAAACAGCTTTTGTTTGGCCGGATTGAGGGGGCTAAGCGGGCGCGGCACGGGCTAGAGAAGAGATGGAGTGATGTGGTACAGGAGGACGTGGAGCTGAGTGGACTTGCCGATGACTGGTACCAGCGGTGTCAAGATCGGCCTCTGTGGAGGAGGCTCGTGAAGGACGCTGCTACTGGGCAGTTGGAGGTAGTCGCCTTCCAACAACAACGGAGGGCGGAGAAGCGACGCTCACAACAACGAGCGGAGCGCCGGGTGGCTAAAGCACAGCGGGTTGGCACAGTAGGGGGCACAGATGGTGCATCAGCCAGTCATCTCAGTCAGTCGACCCGTGGCACCTGGGTCTGCCCCGTGACCTCCTGCCAGCGGGCGCTTCGACACTTCACGTGGCCTCAGGGTGCACATAGCCTGGCACAAGCGTCGTGGTGACGTCACCGCCACTTTGTGGCGAATGGCGGTTGTTGTTGTTGGGTGTGTGTGTGTGTGTGGCCTTCATAGGTGCTCGCTAACAGCACTTGCCCCGACAGTCTGTTAAGGCTACACGGGGGATCTTTGTCTTTTGTGGTGGAGACCCGGGTGTGGTGGAGACCCGGGTGTGCGCGTGTGTGGTGCTCGCTAACAGCACTTGCCCCGACAGTCTGTGAAGGCTATACGGTGGGGCGAGGGATCTTTATCTTTGTCTTTGTGCGAGCGAGCGAGCGAGCGCCGCCGCCCGTTGCCACGGCGACATACCTCGTGGTACCCGCGGCTGAAGTAGTGGTCGCGGAAGCACTGCACGACGGCGGAGCGCACGCGCAGCACCCGCGCCAGCGTCTCGCCGCGCAGCAGCATGTGACGGTGGTCCAGCTGCACCTCCACGCTCGACTCCTCGTTGAGGAGGTTGTCGGCACCGCCCGCCGGCGCGGCGCCCACCAGCTCCCAGAAGTCACAGATTAGCTCGTGCCCGCCGGGGGCCTGGGGGCGGTGGGCGGGCAAGGAGGGGGGGGGCGGTGGGCGGGCAAGGGGGGGGGGCCGGTGGGCGGGCAAGGGGGGACAGGAAGGACAGTGGGCGGACGAATCACGTGGTGTGTGGTGAATGCAGACTGCTACTGTGATGTCTTGTAGGAGCGATGCTGGGTCCACCCGCCCCCTGACCCCCAGTTCCCCGCCCCACCCCCAACCCCCCCAGTGTCCCCCCCCCCACCCCCCCCCGTGTCCCCCCCCCCCAGTGCCCCAACCCCCACCCCCAGTGTCCCCCCCACCCCCCCCCCCCACTGTGTTTGCCCCGACTCAGTGGGGGGAAGGGGTGGCTCTGCCCTGTGGCTTTGGCGAGTGCTGTGCCGTGGTGCTGTGTCGTGGTGTCGTGGTGACGTGTGTGGTGTCGTGGTGCTGTGTCGTGGTGACGTGTGTGGTGTCGTGTGTGGTGTCGTGGTGCTGTGTCGTAGTGTCGTGGTGCTGTCGTAGTGTCGTGGTGCTGTGTCGTGGTGACGTGTGTGGTGTCGTGTGTGGTGACGTGGTGCTGTGTCGTAGTGTCGTGGTGCTGTGTCGTGGTGACGTGTGTGGTGTCGTGTGTGGTGACGTGGTGCTGTGTCGTAGTGTCGTGGTGCCGTGCCGTGGTGCCGTGCGTGGTGCCGTGCCGTGGTGCCGTGCGTGGTGTCGTGGTGCTGTGTCGTGGTGCTGTGTCGTGGTGCCGTGCGTGGTGCCGTGCCGTGGTGCCGTATCGTGGTGCCGTGTCGTGGTGACGTGTGTGGTGTCGTGGTGCCGTGCGTGGTGGCGGCGCTCACCGCCTTGCCGTCCGGCACGGGCTTCACGGTGCCGTACACGGCGACGGAGCTCTCGGTGGCCAGCAGCACGGCGGCGTAGCACTGGCACTGTGGTGTCACAACACCATCGTCACCGTCACCACATCACCGCAACAACACCGCCAGCGTCACAACAACACCGTCACAACAACACCGTCACAACAACACCGTCACCACCACCATCGTCACCACCGTCACCACATCACTGCAACAACACCGCCAGCATCACAACAACACCATCACCACCACCATCGTCACCACCGTCACAACATCGCAACACCACCAGCGTCACAACAACACCGTCACCAACAGCATCGTCAGTCACCACCACCATCGTCACCACCGCCACAACCGCCACAACCACCACCACCGCCGCAACCACCACCACTACCACCACTGGCACAATTACAACCACCGCCACAACTACCACCACCGCCACAACCACCACCACTGCCACAATTACAACCACCACAACCACAACAACCACCACCACCACCACCGGCACAACCACTGCCACAATTACAACCACCACAACCACAACAACCACAACCACCACAACCACTACCACCGCCGCCACAACCACCACTACTACCACAGCCACAACCACCGCCACCACCACTGGCACAGCCACAACCACCGTCACAACCACCGCCACCACCACCACCACCACCACCGCCGCCACCACCAGCACCACCACCACCACCACCGGCACAGCCACAACCACCACCACCACCACCACTACCACCACAACCACCACCACCACCACAACCACCACCATCACCACCACCGCCACCACCGCCACCACCACCACCAGCAGTGAAGTGAACTCACCAGCTTCTCGCTCATGACGCACTGCAGGAAGCCGGTGCCATCACGCAGCACCACAAACATCAACGTCCGCCCTGCCGGGGGAGAGCCACGCACGTCAGGGTCACGGTCGGGGTCAGTCTCGGGGTCGGGGTCAGGGTCAGTGTTAGAGTTAGTCTCGGGGTCAGGGTCAGGGTCATGGTCGGGGTTAGTCTCGGGGTCAGGGTCAGTGTTAGGGTCACCGTCAGGGTTAGTCTCGGGGTCAGGGTCAGTGTTAGGGTCAGGGTTAGTCTCGGGATCAGGGTCAGTGTTAGGGTCGGGGTTAATCTCGGGGTCAGGGTCAGTGTTAGGGTCACGGTCAGGGTTAGTCTCGGGTCAGGGTTAGTGTTAGGGTCAGGGTCAGTCTCGGGGTCAGGGTCAGTGTTAGGGTCACGGTCAGGGTCAGTCTAGGGGTAAGAGTCAGTGTTAGGGTCACGGTCAGTCTCAGGGTCGGGGTCTGTGTTAGGGTTAGGGTCGGGGTTAGTCTCGGGGTCGGGGTGGAGGTCAGGGTTAGTGGTATGGTCAGTGTTGGGGTCAGGGTCACTAGAAGATATGAATAATATTTTATATTCAAAATACCTCCCATGTAAATTGTTGGGTTGATGTGGGAGGAGATGCAGAGCGGGAGGAGACGCAGAGTGGGGGAGATACAGGAAGAAGGCACGGGGAGGAGAGATAGAGGAGGAGAGACACGGGGAGGAGAGACAGAGGAGGAGAGACAGAGGAGGAGATACAGAGTGGGAGAGACAGAGGAGGAGAGACAGAGGAGGAGAGACAGAGGAGGAGCGACATGGAGGTTGAGGGCGAGTGTCGGGCCGGTCCGGCGGGGTGAGGCCTCACCTTGCCGCCGCAGCCGGTGCACCCAGCCAAACACCTTGACGCGGCTGCCCCGGTGTGCCGCCAGCTCAACCACCTTGAGCTGCAACGCGGAGGCACCACGGCCGTGGTTAACGCTCACGCACGCACACAACCAACGCACGCACCCAACCAACCAACCAACGCACGCACCCAACCAACGCACGGACCCAACCAACCAACCAACGCACACACCCAACCAACGCACGGACCCAACCAACCAACCCACCCAACCAACGCACGGACCCAATCAACGCACCCAACCAACCAACGCACCCCACCAACGCACGCACCCAACCACGGCCGCTACACAACCACGGCCGCTACGACGACAACCACAGGCAAGGCCTCCACTGAGCTGATGTTTCATCATTACGTGGGAATTTTGAGCAGTAGCCAAATACCCTTAATTGCGTGATGTCGATTCTAAATATGGAGGGGAAAAACCGGAGGACCCGGAGAAAAATCCATGCGACCACGGAGAGAGAGAGAGAGACACCGCAAATATACAGCAGCAGCAGCAGGCGTCAGGGTCGGGATCAAACCCACAACCTCCTGCATACCAGGCGAGGTAGTCAACATCTCATAGCCACCGTGATGATGATGACAGAGGGACACCGCAAACTCCAAATATACAGCAGCAGGAGCAGCGGCAGTAGCGGCAGCAGCAGCAGCAGCGGCAGCAGCAGCGGCTTTCGGCTGCTAACCATCGAACAAAGGGCGGTGGTCACCGCATCCGCGCGGTGCTTCCACATTCACTGCTTCTGCGGCCGTCGAGAACGTTCTGCCTTCCGACACGAGGAACTCACCGGGAGCTGTGTGCACTTTCAAATCATCGCCATTGACAAACCACTGTCTTCACAGCCGCTCGTTGTCGCGTTTAGTTTGTCGTCCTTCCCCGCACCTCAGGCTACCGTAATTGGCTACGTTCGGTGCGAAAGAAGAACGCACGCACGCAGATACAACTCAGCGACCTCGGGGGCCGCTCGCCAGCAAGCACTTGCCCCAGCGGTCCGTCAAGGCTACACGGGGGACCTTTGTCTTTTTACATAGGGAGCGGTGGCGCAGTGGTTAGCGCACGAACGCAGCGACCTCGGGGGCCGCTCGCCAGCAAGCACTTGCCCCAGCGGCCCGTCAAGGCTACACGGGGGACCTTTGTCTTTTTACATAGGGAGCGGTGGCGCAGTGGTTAGCACACGAACGCAGCGACCTCGGGGGCCGCTCGCCAGCAAGCACTTGCCCCAGCGGTCCGTCAAGGCTACACTGGGGGCGGGGGGGGGATATCTTTGTGTTTGTCCCCACCTGCAGCGGTGCGGGGAGGCTGGGGTCGAGCGCGATGCTGATCTTCTTGGCCTCTTCCAGGTTCTTCTCCCGGCGTACAGCATCCTCCGCCTGCCGGTCGCACGTAGCGCAGCACCGCCAGGCCACCGTCACGCTCACGCCGGGCCCCCCCACTCCCCCTCCACGTGCCCTCCTGCGGGACCTCTCTCCCCCCTCTAATCTCTCTCTGCGAGTGTAGCGGTCGGCGCTGCGCTGCGAACCCGGCGACCCGGGTTCGACTCCCGCTCACGGCCAACACCGGTGACGATTATCTGAACCGGTCCCGGGCCTCCCCTAGGTCGACTCAGCCTCAAACGAGTACCTGGTGCGGTGCGTAGTAAACATCGCCACTAGGGAGACAAAGGCGGTCGGGCGTGGTGCTGGACACCCACCCCCTCGTGTGCCGTGCCGGCCTTCATAGGTGCTCGCTAACAGCACTTGCCCCTACAGTTTGTTAAGGCTATACGGGGGTTCTTTGTCTTCTTTGTCTCTGTGTGTCCCCGCGTCTCTGTGTGTGTGTCCCCGTGTCTCTGTATGTGTCCCCACGTCTCTGTGTGTGTATCCTCGTGTCTCTGTGTGTGTGTCCCCGTGTCTCTGTGTGTGTCCGCGTCTCTGTGTGTGTGTCCCCGCGTCTCTCTGTGTGTGTCCGCGTCTCTGTGTGTGTGTCCCCACGTCTCTGTGTGTGTGTCCCCGTGTCTCTGTGTGTGTCCCCGTGTCTCTGTGTGTGTCCCCGCGTGTCTCTGTGTGTGTCCCCGTGTCTCTGTGTGTGTGTCCGCGTCTCTGTGTGTCCCCACGTCTCTCTGTGTGTCCCCGCATCTCTGTGTGTGTGTCCCCGCGTGTCTCTGTGTGTGTCCCCGCGTGTCTCTGTGTGTGTCCCCGTGTCTCTGTGTGTGTCCCCGCGTGTCTCTGTGTGTGTGTCCCCGCGTGTCTCTGTGTGTGTGTCCGCGTCTCTGTGTGTGTGTCCCCGCGTGTCTCTGTGTGTCCCCGCGTCTCTGTGTGTGTGTCCCCGCGTGTCTCTGTGTGTGTGTCCCCGCGTGTCTGTGTGTGTCCCCGTGTCTCTCTGTGTGTGTCCCCGCGTCTCTGTGTGTGTCCCCACGTGTCTCTGTGTGTGTCCCCGTGTCTCTCTGTGTGTGTCCCCACGTGTCTCTGTGTGTCCCCGCGTGTCTCTGTGTGTGTCCCCGTGTCTCTGTGTGTGTGTCCCCGCGTGTCTCTCTCTGTGTGTGCTTGTAGGCCCATGCACCTCCTTCTTGTCCTTGGCGTCTTGCTTCGTCTGCTCGCGCTGCCAGGCCTTCTTGACGCCCTTCAGCTGCGTCTTGGATATCGGTTCCCATCTCTAGCAGACACAACCACGTCCACACATCCGTGTCTCCGCATACACCAAATGTTACCTCGCCTGGTCTGCAGGAGGGCGTGAGTTCGACACCGAGCCGGGTGCCTGCCGTACATTGGGAGTCGGGCGTCTCTCTCGCTCACTCTCCCAGTGGCCGCGTGGATTTGTCTGCGGCTTCTCGCTCCACATTTAGAATCAAGGTGCGTTCAGAGTATTTGGCCGGCGTAAGTTTCCACACGACGGCGATGGCGGCGACAACTTTGGTTGAGCGATCATTTGTGGCCAGGTCGCGTCTGAAAACTAGCCACGTAGCACAGTGGGGCCTTAACCTGGTTAAATAAAAAATAGTTTCTGGTTTAAAAATGAAACCCATCCACAGTGCAGCAGGACACCCCATCGTCGTCATCGCCATCATCATCGTCTTCGTTATCATCGTTACCACCATCATGATCGTCGTCACCGTCGTCGTCACGATCATCATCGTCACGATCATCATCGTCGTCATCATCGTCGTCGTCATCATCGTCGTCGTCGACATCGTCGTCATCAACATCATCGTGATCATCGTCATTATCGTCATAATCATCGTCATCATCGTCGTCACGATCATCGTCGTCCAGATCATCATCGTCACCATCATCGTCGTCAGCATCATCGTCGTCATCATCATCGTCAACATCATCATGATCATCGTCATTATCATCATAATCATCGTCGTCATCATCGTCGTCACGATCATCGTCGTCACGATCATGGTCGTCACCATCATCGTCGTCACCATCATCGTAGTCAACATCATCATGATCATCGTCATTATCGTCGTCACGATCATCATCGTCACGATCATCGTCGTCACCATCATCGTCGTCAACATCATCGTCGTCATCATCATCATCGTCAACATCATCATGATCATGGTCATTATCGTCATAATCATCGTCGTCACCATCATGGTCGTCACCATCATGGTCGTCACCATCATGGTCGTCACCATCATGGTCGTCACCATCACCGTCGTCACCATCACCGTCGTCAGCATCACCGTCGCTGTGACCGACAACGACTGTAGTCACGTGCAGGCAGTGAGCCCGTTACCTCTCCCTGGGCCTTGGCGTCCACGTAGAGGCTCGGGAGCGGCACAGTGCCCACAGATTTCAAGGCCTGAGCGAGGAGGCCACACCGCCGGCCATTACCAACGGGATACGGGGAGGGGGGGATACAGGCAGGGCTCAGAATCAGAGTCTCGATGTACACTGCAGGAGGAATCCGATGAGCTATCAAGCTCTTTTCCACAGATGTCCAGTAGGGGCATGGGGTGAGAAAGCTACAAGAACAAAGATGACCAAACAGGTTCGGTGGGACCCCGGTCACCTGGCGCTGGTACCAGTAGGAGGGAGTGGGGAGTCCCAGTGTGTAGCTGCAGGGTGTAGGGTAGTGAGTCCTGGTGTGTGTGTTACCTGCAGGGTGACGGTGTGTGTGTTACCTGCAGGGTGATGGTGTGTGTTACCTGCAGGGTGACGGTGTGTGTGTGTTACCTGCAGGGTGACGGTGTGTGTGTGTTACCTGCAGGGTGACGCTGTGTGTGTGTTACCTGCAGGGTGACGGTGTGTGTGTGTTACCTGCAGGGTGACGGTGTGTGTGTGTTACCTGCAGGGTGACGGTGTGTGTGTGTTACCTGCAGGGTGACGCTGTGTGTGTGCTACCTGCAGGGTGACGCTGTGTGTGTGTTACCTGCAGGGTGACGGTGTGTGTGTTACCTGCAGGGTGACGGTGTGTGTGTTACCTGCAGGGTGACGGTGTGTGTGTGTTACCTGCAGGGTGATGGTGTGTGTGTGTTACCTGCAGGGTGACGGTGTGTGTGTGTTACCTGCAGGGTGACGGTGTGGGTGTTACCTGCAGGGTGACGGTGTTTGTGTGTTACCTGCAGGGTGATGGTGTGTGTTACCTGCAGGGTGACGGTGTGTGTGTTACCTGCAGGGTGACGGTGTGTGTGTGTTACCTGCAGGGTGATGGTGTGTGTGTTACCTGCAGGGTGACACTGTGTGTGTGTTACCTGCAGGGTGACGGTGTGTGTGTTACCTGCAGGGTGACGCTGTGTGTGTGTTACCTGCAGGGTGACGCTGTGTGTGTGTTACCTGCAGGGTGACGCTGTGTGTGTGTTACCTGCAGGGTGACGGTGTGTGTGTTACCTGCAGGGTGACGGTGTGTGTGTTACCTACAGGGTGACGCTGTGTGTGTGTTACCTGCAGGGTGACGCTGTGTGTGTTACCTGCAGGGTGACGGTGTGTGTGTGTTACCTGCAGGGTGACGGTGTGTGTGTGTTACCTGCAGGGTGACGCTGTGTGTGTTACCTGCAGGGTGACGGTGTGTGTGTGTTACCTGCAGGGTGACGGTGTGTGTGTGCTACCTGCAGGGTGACTGTGTGTGTTACCTGCAGGGTGACGGTGTGTGTGTGTTACCTGCAGGGTGACTGTGTGTGTTACCTGCAGGATGACGCTGTGTGTGTGTGTGTTACCTGCAGGGTGACGGTGTGTGTGTGTGTGTTACCTGCAGGGTGACGCTGTGTGTGTGTTACCTGCAGGGTGACGCTGTGTGTGTGTTACCTGCAGGGTGACGCTGTGTGTGTGCTACCTGCAGGGTGACGGTGTGTGTGTGTTACCTGCAGGGTGACGGTGTGTGTGTGCTACCTGCAGGGTGACGCTGTGTGTGTGCTACCTGCAGGGTGACGCTGTGTGTGTGTTACCTGCAGGGTGACGGTGTGTGTGTGCTACCTGCAGGGTGACGCTGTGTGTGTGCTACCTGCAGGGTGACGGTGTGTGTGTTACCTGCAGGGTGACGCTGTGTGTGTGCTACCTGCAGGGTGACGCTGTGTGTGTGCTACCTGCAGGGTGACGCTGTGTGTGTGCTACCTGCAGGGTGACGCTGTGTGTGTGTTACCTGCAGGGTGACGCTGTGTGTATGTGTTACCTGCAGGGTGACGCTGTGTGTGTGCTACCTGCAGGGTGACGGTGTGTGTGTGTGTGTGTTACCTGCAGGGTGACGCTGTGTATGTGTTACCTGCAGGGTGACGGTGTGTGTGTTACCTGCAGGGTGACGCTGTGTGTGTGTTACCTGCAGGGTGACGCTGTGTGTGTGTTACCTGCAGGGTGACGCTGTGTGTGTGTTACCTGCAGGGTGACGGTGTGTGTGTTACCTGCAGGGTGACGGTGTGTGTGTTACCTACAGGGTGACGCTGTGTGTGTGTTACCTGCAGGGTGACGCTGTGTGTGTTACCTGCAGGGTGACGGTGTGTGTGTGTTACCTGCAGGGTGACGGTGTGTGTGTGTTACCTGCAGGGTGACGCTGTGTGTGTTACCTGCAGGGTGACGGTGTGTGTGTGTTACCTGCAGGGTGACGGTGTGTGTGTGTTACCTGCAGGGTGACTGTGTGTGTTACCTGCAGGGTGACGGTGTGTGTGTGTTACCTGCAGGGTGACTGTGTGTGTTACCTGCAGGATGACGCTGTGTGTGTGTGTGTTACCTGCAGGGTGACGGTGTGTGTGTGTTACCTGCAGGGTGACGCTGTGTGTGTGTTACCTGCAGGGTGACGCTGTGTGTGTGTTACCTGCAGGGTGACGCTGTGTGTGTGCTACCTGCAGGGTGACGGTGTGTGTGTGTTACCTGCAGGGTGACGGTGTGTGTGTGCTACCTGCAGGGTGACGCTGTGTGTGTGCTACCTGCAGGGTGACGCTGTGTGTGTGTTACCTGCAGGGTGACGGTGTGTGTGTGCTACCTGCAGGGTGACGCTGTGTGTGTGCTACCTGCAGGGTGACGGTGTGTGTGTTACCTGCAGGGTGACGCTGTGTGTGTGCTACCTGCAGGGTGACGCTGTGTGTGTGCTACCTGCAGGGTGACGCTGTGTGTGTGCTACCTGCAGGGTGACGCTGTGTGTGTGTTACCTGCAGGGTGACGCTGTGTGTATGTGTTACCTGCAGGGTGACGCTGTGTGTGTGCTACCTGCAGGGTGACGGTGTGTGTGTGTGTGTGTGTTACCTGCAGGGTGACGCTGTGTATGTGTTACCTGCAGGGTGACGCTGTGTGGGTGCTACCTGCAGGGTGACGCTGTGTGTGTGTGTTACCTGCAGGGTGACTGTGTGTGTGTTACCTGCAGGGTGACTGTGTGTGTGCTACCTGCAGGGTGACTGTGTGTGTGTGTTACCTGCAGGGTGACGCTGTGTGTGTGTTACCTGCAGGGTGACGCTGTGTGTGTGTTACCTGCAGGGTGACGGTGAGTGTGTGTTACCTGCAGGGTGACGCTGTGTGTGTGCTACCTGCAGGGTGACGCTGTGTGTGTGTTACCTGCAGGGTGACGCTGTGTGTGTGTTACCTGCAGGGTGACGCTGTGAGTGTGTGTTACCTGCAGGGTGACTGTGTGTGTGTTACCTGCAGGGTGACTGTGTGTGTGCTACCTGCAGGGTGACTGTGTGTGTGTGTTACCTGCAGGGTGACGCTGTGTGGGTGCTACCTGCAGGGTGACGCTGTGTGTGTGCTACCTGCAGGGTGACGGTGTGTGTGTGTTACCTGCAGGGTGACGCTGTGTGTGTTACCTGCAGGGTGACTGTGTGTGTGTGTTACCTGCAGGGTGACGCTGTGTGTGTGTGCTACCTGCAGGGTGACGCTGTGTGTGTGTGTTACCTGCAGGGTGACTGTGTGTGTGTTACCTGCAGGGTGACGGTGTGTGTGTGTTACCTGCAGGGTGACTGTGTGTGTGTGTTACCTGCAGGGTGACGCTGTGTGTGTGTTACCTGCAGGGTGACTGTGTGTGTGCTACCTGCAGGGTGACTGTGTGTGTGCTACCTGCAGGGTGACTGTGTGTGTGTGTTACCTGCAGGGTGACGGTGTGTGTGTGTTACCTGCAGGGTGACGCTGTGTGTGTGTGTTACCTGCAGGGTGACTGTGTGTGTGCTACCTGCAGGGTGACGGTGTGTGTGTGCTACCTGCAGGGTGACTGTGTGTGTGTGTTACCTGCAGGGTGACGCTGTGAGTGTGTGTTACCTGCAGGGTGATGCTGTGTGTGTGTGCTACCTGCAGGGTGACGGTGTGTGTGTGTTACCTGCAGGGTGACGCTGTGTGTGTGCTACCTGCAGGACGCTCTTGAAGGGCTTCTCCTGGCTGCCGTCTCCGCTCTCGTCGCTGCCGTCGCGCTCCGACGTGTAGAGGGCGCCTGCGGGGGGCGGGGCACAGGGGCAACGATGACGTCAGACGCGGCCACAGCCACGGAGGCCGCGGCGAGCACGACCACAACGACGATGACCACAACGACAATCACAACGATGACAACGGCCACAACAACAATCACAATCGACGACAACGACCACAACCACGAAGATAACCACAACGACAACAATGATCACAACAACAATCACAACGACAACAATGATCACAACAACAATCACAACGACAACAACGATCACAGCGACAATCACAACGACGACAACAACCACAACAACGACGATGACCACAACAATGACCACAACGATCACAACAACAATCACAACGACAACAACGATCACAACAACAATCACAACGACGACAACAACCACAACAACGACGATGACCACAACAATGACCACAACGATCACAACAACAATCACAACGACATCAACGATCACAACAACAATCACAACGACGACAACGACCACAACCACGAAGATAACCACAACGACAACAATGATCACAACAACAATCACAACGACAACAACGATCACAACAACAATCACAACGACGACAACAACCACAACAACGACGATGACCACAACAATGACCACAACGATCACAACAACAATCACAACGACATCAACGATCACAACAACAATCACAACGACGACAACAACCACAACAACGACGATGACCACAACAATGACCACAACGATCACAACAACAATCACAACGACAACAACGATCACAACGACAATCACAACGACGACAACAACCACAACAACGACGATGACCACAACAATGACCACAACGATCACAACAACAATCACAACGACAACAACGATCACAACAACAATCACAACAACGACCGCAACCACGACGATGATCACAACGACGACCACAACGGCGACGACAATCACAACAACGACCACCACAACAATGAGGACTCGTTCTGCAGAAGACGTTCAGCTCGGTATTGACAATGGTGGTGCGTGTGGGGGAGTGATATTACTGCCACCGAGTGCGACGCCGAATCGATGATGGTGACGATGTTGGCCCACGTGACCAGGCCCCATGAGTTCATAGTTCACAGGGGCGTCTCTCGCTCACTTCACTCACCCCATGCCCCGACTGGGACATCTGTGCAAAAAGAGCTTCATAGCTCATCGGATTCCTCCTGCGGTCTAAATAAAGATCCCCCCCCCCCCCCTCCGTACCCCCCCCACTCCGACCCGGAGTGTCGCCCGCTCACTCGCCGCCGGCTCCGTCGCTTTCACTTCCCGCTCCGCTACGAGTGACCTCGCTCAAGCGTCCGTCTCTAAACCAAGGACTTTACAAATAAAACTAAACACCCCACCCCCCATCGGCCGCAAACAAGAATGGCCAGTCCCTGCCACTTCCGTCGACGTGACCTTGATCATCGGCATACATAACATGGTTGAGCAATAGGGAGCCATCCCTTGACCGAAACCGGGACATCGATCAGCCTCCCATTGTACAGCGACTGAAGTTTTCACGAACTACGTGGTCGAAATAGATGTTAAATAATGTTGGAGCCAGAGGGCATCCCTGTCGCACCCCAAGGTGTGCAGGGAATGTTTCTGACTCTGACAGACACACACAGACCCCCAGACACACAGAGACCCACAGAAGACGTTCAACACACACACACAACCAGACACCCACAGACACCTACACCCAGAGACCCACAGAAGCTGTTCAATACACACACACACAACCCCAGACACCCAGAGACCCCCAGACACACAGAGACCCACACAAGAAGTTCAACACACACACACAACCACAGACACCCACAGACACCCAGACCCACAGAGACCCACACAAGAAGTTCAACACACACACACAACCACAGACACCCACAGACACCTAGACCCAGAGACCCACAGAAGCTGTTCAACACACACACACACAACCACAGACACCCACAGACACCCAGACCCACAGAGACCCACATAAGACGTTCAACACACACACACACACAACCACAGACACCCACAGACACACAGACACCCACAGAAGACGTTCAACACACACACATACAACCACAGACACCGACAGACACACAGACACCCACAGAAGACGTTCAACACACACACACATACAAAAGGTCCCTAGCCCCCCAAAACCGCCGCGGACGAGACAGAACCAGTGGGTTGGGCCCAGTGACCCTGCCAGAGGAAGGTCTACGACGCAGCGTGCATGATGTAATATTTGCAACTTCACTGGCAAGGCAAAGATCCCCATACAGTTTAAGACTAGCAGTAGTAGTAACAGGTGGAAGTAAGCTTTTGCGATTAATGTTGTCCATGATATGAGTGGGGGGGGGGTGAGATGGCGTAAATATTAATAAAACGGGTGTTTTTTGGGTTAGATTGCGTATAAAAATATAAATGTTGTGTCGTTAAACTCGCCACCACCCGACACGACCAACTAGTAAGGTTTGTCACGTAAACGGAACGTGGCCAATTCGTCACTAGTACAGCACTAGTGTGTAGTGCAGTGTATAGTGTAGTGCATAGTAGTGTATAGTGTAGTGTATAGTAGTGTGTAGTGTATAGTGTAGTGTATAGTGTAGTTTATAGTGTAGTGTATAGTAGTGTAGTGTGTAGTGTATAGTGTAGTGTAAAGTGTAGTGTGTAGTGTAGTTTATAGTGTAGTGTATAGTAGTGTAGTGTGTAGTGTAGTGTATAGTGTAGTGTATAGTAGTGTAGTGTATATTAGTGTAGTGTATCGTAGTGTATCGTAGTGTATAGTGTAGTGTATAGTAGTGTAGTGTGTAGTGTAGTGTATAGTGTAGTGTATAGTAGTGTAGTGTATATTAGTGTAGTGTATCGTAGTGTATCGTAGTGTATAGTGTAGTGTATACTAGTACAGCACTAGTGTATAGTGTAGTGTGTAGTGTATTGAATAGTGGTGTATAGTGTATAGTGTAGTAGTGTATAGTGGTGTAGTGTATAGTGTAGTAGTGTATAGTGGTGTAGTGGATAGTGTATTGTATAGTGTAGTATACTAGTACAGCACTAGTGTGTAGTGTATAGTGTAGTATACTAGTACAGTACTAGTGTATAGTGTAGTGTGTAGTGTATTGAATAGTGTAGTGTATAGTATAGTGTATAGTGTAGTGTATAGTGGTGTAGTGTATAGTGTAGTAGTGTATAGTGGTGTAGTGGATAGTGTAGTGTATAGTGTAGTATACTAGTACAGCACTAGTGTATAGTGTAGTGTGTAGTGTATTGAATAGTGTAGTGTATAGTATAGTGTATAGTGTAGTGTATAGTGTAGTAGTGTATAGTGGTGTAGTGTATAGTGTAGTAGTGTATAGTGGTGTAGTGGATAGTGTAGTGTATAGTGTAGTATACTAGTACAGCACTAGTGTATAGTGTAGTGTATTGAATAGTATAGTGTATAGTATAGTGTATAGTGTAGTAGTGTATAGTGGTGGTGTATAGTGTAGTAGTGTATAGTGGTGTAGTGGATAGTGTAGTGTATAGTGTAGTATACTAGTACAGCACTAGTGTGTCGTGTATAGTGTAGTATACTAGTACAGCACTAGTGTATAGTGTAGTGTATTGAATAGTGTAGTGTATAGTGTAGTGTGTAGTGTAGTGTATAGTGTAGTGTATAGTAGTATACTAGTACAGCACACCGGTTGTGTGTTTGAGAACCAAGCCACAACATTTACAATCCGAGCATCGTGACGTTTCGCCGGTAATTACAACCAGCTTCGTCAGGCGACAGCCAGATTTGTTCAAACGTGCCGTTGAACCCAGCCACCAACCACACGACACGGCCAAAAAAGTCGGGGGGGGGGGGGAGGGGGTTTGCCACGTGGAGCAAGACGTGCCAACTTGGTCACTCGTGTTGGGAAGAGAAAAAGCCACAACGTTCGGAATTGTAAATGTTGCGGGTTTTCCCTCCCTCTAGCACCCTCTCCGTGTCGCCTGAAACGGACTCGAAACTTTGGTGACTGCGGGACTCCACATTCTTGGCCATTCTGTCGGGCAAAAGTCACGGAGTGGCATTTGGAGGCCGTGCCCCCCATCTTGTCTCTCCGCCCGATGAAGACCGCTTGCGTTGCGATCGAAACGTCGTGGGGGGGTTGTTGTTTTTTTGCCTCTATCTCGAGATGACAAAAAAAAAACAAAATTCCACGTGACTTCACCGAAAGACGCAAGAACTAAAGCGGACTGTTGGGGCCGGGCGCTGCGAGCGGGCGGCAACCTTCCGAAGGCCAGCACGGCGCACGGCAAGGGAGGGTGGGTGGCCAAAGCATCGCGCCCGGCCGCCTTTGTCTCCCCCACCACCACCCCCCCCCCCCGACCCCGTGGCGATGTTAACTACGCAACCGCACCGGGTGCTCATTTGAGGCCGAGTCGACCTAGGGGGAGACCACAGGAGCGGTTCAGACAACCGTCGTCGGTGCGGTGTTGGGCGGCCGCGAGCGGGACTCGAACTCGGCCATTCGCCGGATTCGTGGCACGGTGCGCTAACCAGCTGCCCAGCTTTCTCGCATGCATGATGCAATATTGCGACTAGCGCTAACACAAACACACACACCCTTGGGACTCATTCGTCAGCTCGTGACGCATACACAGATGCAGTAAAATAAGAGACAGGTAACTGCCCCTGCAATAATAATGTGGAATTTCCGCTGGCGAGATAAGGGCTGCACAGTGTTTCGATTTGAAGCTTTCGTGACTCCAAGGATTCATCTTCTTTGGTTCTTTCGGTAAAGTCACCACGTAGAATGAGAATAAAATAATAAATTGATAAAATAAAATAACACGATAAAAATTCTCACGACGTTTCGGCCACAAGACAAGCGGCCTCCAGGCAGTCTCGTCCCTTCACCTGATGAAGGCCGCTTGTGTTGTGGCCGAAACGTCGTGAGAATTTTATTGTGTTATTTCATTTTATCAATTTAATATTTTATTCTCAATCTACGTGACTTTACCGAAAGAACCAAAGAAGACTGCACAGTGG